CTCCAGTCTGAGTGACAGAGCAAGACTCCATCTCAAAATATGTATGTATGTATGTATGTATGTATATATATATATATATACATACACACACACACACACACACACGTCTATAATTTACACATCATGCAATTTACCTAATTCAAGTGTATGATTCCATGGTTTTTAGTGTATTCAAGGTTGTACAACCATCACCATCATCAATTTAAAAACATTTTCATCACCCCAAAAGGAAATCTCATACCATTTGCCTATCACAGCCTAATCCCTCCACCAACCACCCACTCCCCCAGTGCTAAGTAACTATCCATCTACTTCTGGTATCTAGCTTTGTCTCCATTCTGGACATTTCATATAAATAGAATCATAATATGTGGTCTTTTGTGATTAGTTTCTTTCACTTAGCATAGCATTTTCAAAGTTCATCTGTGTTGTAACATAGCATGTTAGTGCTTCCACGCCCTTTATGGACGAATAAGATATACCACCTTTTGTTTGTTCATCAATTGGTGGGCATTTGGGTAGTTTCTGCCATTTGGTTATAATGAGTAATGCTATTATGAAGATTTATGTATGCATTTTTATGTGTACACGTTTTTATTTCTCAAGTATGTACCTAGAAGTGGAATTGCTGCATGAAATGGTAAATATGTTCAATTTTTTTTTTTTTTTTTTTAAGACGGAGTTTCGCTCTTGTTACCCAGGCTGGAGTGCAATGGCGCGATCTCGGCTCACCGCAACCTCTGCCTCCTGGGTTCAGGCAATTCTCCTGCCTCAGCCTCCTGAGTAGCTGGGATTACAGGCATGAGCCACCATGCCCAGCTAATTTTTTGTATTTGTAGTAGAGGCGGGGTTTCACCATGTTGACCAGGATGGTCTTGATCTCTTGACCTCGTGATCCACCTGCCTCAGCCTCCCAAAGTGCTGGGATTACAGGTGTGAGCCACTGCGCCCAGCGTGAATATGTTCAATTTTTTTAACAACTGGCTATTTTCCAAAGTGGCTACACCATTTTACATTCCCATCAGCTGCGTATATGGATTCTAATTTCCCTGCATTCTCACCTTCACTTCTTATTTGACTTTTTATTATAATTTCCCTGATGGCTATAAAATGGTATCTTACTGTGGTTTTGATTTGCCATGTTTTTCTCAAAGCTACCACAAGCCACTCAGTTGCTCAGAAGTGCTTGAGTATCTCCAACCCATTTTACTATTACCATTGCCACTGAAAGTTCAAATGCTTGTCATCTATCACTTGAATTATTACAACAACCTTAGCTATATAACTGACCTTCCTTTTCCTCCCTCTTCCTATCACCCAGCCAAGAAAATTTCATTAAACGTTAAACATCTATTGTAATATAATGTACAGCTTCAAAGCTTGAGAATTATGGAAAGAAAAAAACTTTCCGGGAAGCTTACAGTGGAGAAACCTAGCAAACATCTTAAATGAAGTGATGAAGGTTAACATCAGCAGTGATGTGTTCTCTGAAATGATATGATAAAAATACCTGTGTGGTATTTTTTCTAAAACCCTTGCCTCCAGTCTAGTCATGAGAAAACATCAGACAAACCCAAATTGAGGAATATTTGACAAACTTTTTGATCAGCACCTTTAAAAACTGTCAAGGTCATGAAAAACAAGGAAAGATTGAGTGAAGAAACTCTGAGGAGATTAGGGAGTCCATGACAGCTAAATGTTATGTGGGATCCCATATTGGCTCCTGGAAAAGAAAAACCACATTAATGGAAAAAAAAACAGTGAAATCTGAATGAAGACTGGCTTTCAGTAATAATAATTTACCAGTGTTGGCTTCTTAGTTTTGACACATGTACCCTGATAATGTAAGATAACATCAAGGAAGACAAACTGGTTAAGGGCTTACATGAGAACTCTCTGTACTATCTTTGTAATTTTTCTACAAATCTAAAATTACTCCAAAATAAAAACATGTATTTTATTTAAAATTAAGCTTCAAAGGCTCCCCACTTATTAGAGCAGATCCATATTTCCAACTTATTGAAGTCCTCTACTGACTTACTTTTATTATAACTGCCCTTATGGCTATGAAGTGGTATCTCACTGTGGTTTTGATTAGCCCTGTTTCTTTTTCTTTTCTTTTTTTTTTTTTTTTTTTGAGATGGAGTTTCGCTCTTGTTACCCGGGCTTGAGTGCAATGGCGCGATCTCAGCTCATCACAACCTCCGCCTCCTGGGTTCAGGCAATTCTCCTGCCTCAGCCTGCCGAGTAGCTGGGATTACAGACACGCGCCACCATGCCCAGCTAATTTTTTTGTATTTTTAGTAGAGACGGGGTTTCACAATGTTGACCAGGATGGTCTCTATTTCTTGACCTCTTGATCCACCCACCTTGGCCTCCCAAAGTGCTGGGATTACAGGCGTGAGCCACCGCGCTCAGCCAGTCCTGTTTCTTTTAAAGCTACCATAAGCCACCCAGTTGCCCAGAAACACTTATCTTCAGTCCTTTTCACTATCTTCCATCTCTAACCTCAGTGTCAAATATTGTTTCTCCTTGAAGCTACTCTCCAGCATCCAATCTGCTGTTCTCAGACATACTGTACCCTTTAAGAAATGGGTACCATTGAATCTGCTGTTTTCTCTAATTGGAATGTCTGTTTCTGCACTCAGAGGAAAATATGTTCTAAGATTTTCATAACTACCCTGAGTTAGTTGCTTTGTGCTGTATTCCCCTCTTTTTTTTCTTTTGAGACAGGAGCCTCGGTTGCCCAGACTGGAGTGCAGTGGCACTATCTCAGCTCACTGCAGCCTTACCCTCCTGCGCTCAGGTGGTCTCACTTCAGCCCCTGCAAGTATCTGGAAAGTCAGGAGATCAAGACCAGCCTGGCCAACATAGTGAAACCCCAACTCTACCAAAAATACAAAAATTAGCTGAGCATGGTGGTGGGCATCTGTAGTCCCAGCTACTTGGGAGGCTGAGGCAGGAGAATAACTTGAACCCGGGAGACGGAGGTTGCAGTGAGCCGAGATTGGGCCACTATACTCAAGCCTGGGCAACAGAGTGAGACCTTGTCTCAAAAAAAAAAAAAATTTCTGTGAGTGTTATAGTCTACATATACTATAGTAGTCATAATCTCTATCTTGCTTTGTGTAAACATGCATATATTTCATTGCAGAACTACTGATATATTTAATTAGACAGTGCTGCCCCTCTCTGTGTAGTGTTAAAAAATATATATGGTTGTTACAACCTATGACTTTGCTAAAATCCGAAAATTGAGAATTCTGAAGTGTATCTGGAAAAGTTTCAAGTAAGGGAATTGTGTTCCTAAATCAAGGGACAGTGTGCAGAATTGAGAACATCTACATCACTTGAGACCAGCCTGGGCAACATGGAGAAACCCTGCCTCTACTAAAAATACAAAAATTAGCTGGGCATGGTGATACATACCTATAATCTCAGCTACTTGGGAGGCTGATGCATGAGAATTGATTGAACTCAGGAGATGAAGCCTGCAGTGAGCCGAGATTATGCCACTGCACTCCAGCCTGAGCAACAGAGCAAAACTCTGTCTCAAAAGAAAAAAAAAAAAAGGCTCAAGGAGTAGTGAACAGTCATTTTTGAAAGCTCAAAAACAATTGAAAAATGAAGATTAAGAATAAAAAACATATTCATAATATACAGCACACATTTCTAAAAAGGATTAAACTACAAAAAAAGGGAAACATTGAAAAAAGGAAATGATAACTCAAAAACACCCAACCTAATATACAAAATATACTTAGGCATCGAAATTAGCCTCAAGTCTTCCTTGGAAGCTAAGAAAAGAGAGGAATGATAGGTTATAGAGTTTTAATATCCTTAAATTCAGTAGGACTCAAACTTTTTACTAACATTTGAAGAAATATCAAGTACAGGTCAGGCATGGTGGCTCACGCCTGTAATCCCAGCACTTTGGGAAGCCAAGGTGAGCGGATCATGAGTCCAGAGATCGAGACCATCCTGGCCAACAAAGTGAAACCCTGTCCCTAATAAAAAAAAAAAAAAAATTAGCCGGGCGTGGTGGTGTGCGCCGGTAGTCCCAGCTACTTGTGAGGCTGAGGCAGGGGGATCACTTGAACCCAGGAGGCAGAGGTTGCAGTGAGCTGAGATCATGCCACTGCACTCCAGCCTGGTGACAGACTGAGACTGTCTCAAAAAAAAAAAAAAGAAAGAAAACAAATATCAAGCACAATCTAATGTAGGGAATGGATGATGAACTACAATATGGTTGTCTTTAGTTGTAATTTTACAGATGTTCTTCCAGTGTTCACTTTTATTTTCATCTGAAAGTGACAATATTAAACACAACTCTGAAAGCATCTCTTCATAAGGTGAGTTAAGTGCTCTTGGTGATCAACTAGTATTATTACTAAATTTATAGAATTTTGAGATTGTCTTTTTATATAATATGCATTATATCATTTAACAAGTACTTTGAGTAAAATTTCTGGGCTAACTACTGAAGATACATATAAACAACGTCTAAAGACTGCCCTATGAAATCTCAATCAACAGCAGCTTAGTATAATCTCTAGAAATGTTTCCCCTCTTACTAGCTATTTAATATTTTACTGGTTTAAGGTTTCAAAGAAATCCACTAGCATTAACAACAACCAAATTCTGTAAGTTCTATTCAGTGAAACTTCAATTTGGCTTCTTATTTAATTTGTATAGAATTTGATTCTGACCAGTTGCTAAAAAAAGTAATTCTGGAACCAAAGGTTTTCTTTCTTAAGAAGATGATGCTAAATCTAGAATACTAATAAAGCATGTGTTTTAAGTTCCTTTCTAATAGTGATGTTGGTTCGAGGTAAGCCACTTATGTTCTTTATGACCCCATTTGACCTACGGCATGACGTTTTGAGATGGTTAACTAAGACCAGAAGTGTAGGCCATGAACAATTTATAGTGTAATACGTACATATTGATTGCAAGGGTAAAACTATCTTTTTCATACTATTGTTTCTTTACATCTTACAGAATGTAAGTTTTAGACAAATATGGTGGCTTTTGCATATTTAAAAAAATGCAGTTTCAACATGATTGTTTCTCTAGTGGGTAGATAAAGAACAACAGTGAAGTATTCAAGATGCAAAATTCGGACCTCTTCCAAACAGTTATCAAAAACAGTGAGGGCTGGAAGTTGAAAGAAAGGAAAATATACGAGCAGAGTGACAGTTTTGGGCAATGCCATAAATGACACTATGACTTAATTAACTCCCCTTTCTAAGCAAGTCTTCGTTTTTCACAGGAGTTTGAAATATTACCCAGGAAGACAAGCCAATGATTTTGGCTGTGAGAATCTTATACCATAAAATGTTAAGGTAAGATAGTTTATTTAATAATGGGCTTAAATGAATAGTTTCAATAAAAGATCTTAGTTTCTTGTCACCTGAATCTTGAAAGATAATTAGAAGGGAGAAGTCTGTTGAATAATTACTGATTAAAAACTAGATAATTTAGCATTTTTTTTTACCTTAGCTACTCATTTAGGAAATGTTTATTATTTAGATGTTAACATTCATTTTCACTAATTTAATTCTGCTTAATTCAACATGATTATTTAAAGTTAAATTGTGTCAAGTAAATTTATCATAACCTTATAGAAAGTCAAAAACAGTGCCACATGTTTTAATATTTTTATTTAGCATTTGAGAGTTTTAAGTATCATGAAAATATTGGGCCTGATGAGAGAATACAATTTTCTTTTTAAGAGACGCATCTATTCTTTTAAGTGATCAGGGTCCCATTTAGTCAGTTATTTCTTCCATATGGCTCAAAAATGTATGTCTTTGTTGGTCATGTATTTGATTGACCTTTTAGGAAAGGCAAACAGTTGACCAAGGGTTGCCTCATTTTAGAGTCTCCTCAGAAATGACTAAATGTTTTCCAGATGAACATACTGTGAACCAAGCAAGGAGCTAGAAATTAGAAATCATTGCCTTAAACCAGGGGAATTTGTGGACTATTTCTGCTGGCACTCAGTGACCTAAAGGAATTGACCCACAGAGCAGTTTCCTTCACTCTCCACAGTGTAAGTCATAAAATCAACTCAAGGTAAGATATACATATTTATGGCTAGGCTCAGTGGCTCATGGCTGTAATCCCAGCACTTTGGGAGGCCAAGGCGGGTAGATCACCTGAGGTCAGGAGTTCAAGACCAGCCTGGTCAACATCATGAAACCTCATCTCTGCTAAAAATACAGCGCCTGTAATCCCAGCTACTCAGGAGGCCGAGGCAGGAGAATTGCTTGAAACCTGGAGGTGGAGGTTGTGGTGAGCTGAGATCTCGCCACTGCACTCCAGCCTGGGCAACAGAGCGAGATTCCATCTCAAAAAAAAGAGAGAGAGAGAGAGAGAGAGAGAGAGAGAGAGCTATTTATTTATAGTCCACTTGTTTCCAAAGAAGAATTTAAGGCAGCTGCAAAGGCTTCTATCTTTTCCCTGTTTTCTCATTTTAAATTCATTCAAAGTGACTTTACAAAATATAAACTTTAGTTACCAGTGGAGGTAGAAGAGGGTGATCAATTTATTACTGTGTCATTTATCACTGGACCCCTCATCTTCTAAAATTGGCACTAATATCCCACTTCATCCCTTTTTAAAGAAAATAAAAATAACATTTCAATAGGAATAAAATATGTTCTGTGTTGCTTTTCCTCCTTTATCTTCTATCTTATAACCTAAACCTATTTAAGATACAAATTTGGCCGGGCGCGGTGGCTCAAGCCTGTAATCCCAGCACTTTGGGAGGCCGAGGTGGGTGGATCACAAGGTCGAGAGATCGAGACCATCCTGGTCAACATAGTGAAACCCCGTCTCTACTAAAAATACAAAAAACTAGCTGGGCGTGGTGGCGTGTGCCTGTAATCCCAGCTACTGAGGAGGCTGAGGCAGGAGAATTGCCTGAACCCAGGAGGCGGAGGTTGCAGTGAGCCGAGATCGCACCATTGCACTCCAGCCTGGGTAACAAGAGTGAAACTCCGTCTCAAAAAAAAAAAAAAAGATACAAATTTGAGAATACATTTTAAGCAATACAGGGAAAATAAATGATGGGTATCTGCAAACTCTAAAACTACACCTAAGATAATTTATTTAAAAAAAATAATGCTCCTCTGTGTAATTTGTTATCCAAAGTTGAATGGTTGGTACTTTTTTAAAGGAAAAATAGGCCCCCTGCAAAAGGCCAAAATACATTTGTAAAGTTCACCTAAGATAATTGGAAAATACACCAGTTACGTACACATTTATGTTTTCTTAATCAAAAGAATAGAAAGAAGTATAAGGCACCACATGCTTCTAGGTATGATTCCCTAAACAATCTGGAACACAACATTTAGCTTCTATAATTTTAAAACATAGGAACTAGAGATAAATTGTCTGCTACATTGTCTTATTGGAAATTAGCTTAGGGAATTGCAGGGATTTGGAGAAAGAAACTAATGCATAATGATACCCATTTGCAATAACAGAACACTTCAAGGGATTTATCTAAAGTACATTTTAGAGATGGATGGTTCGGGTTGATGCATTTGAACCTTTAAAAATTTTATGATTTAAATTCATTAAGTCAGTGACATTTAGAAACATTGCAGCTACCTTCTGTGTTCTCAACAGAGTCTAAATTCAGCTACATGTATCCTGTGATTACAAGATATGGTTACAAATAGCAATAATTGTTGCAAAGCAAATTACAGAGTGACACAGGAAAACATTCCCCCTCCAACAGAGAGGGTAGTGGATTACCTCACTCATACAGCCTGCAGGTTATATAATGAAGATTGCAGACTTTGAAATGAAAAAGAAATGTATGTCAAAATAGAAAGATGATTTCATGAAAAATAAAGGCAGAGTCTTTTGTTTAGGAGAAAACACCTGAAGAATTGATGAGAAACTTCAAGCACAAATATTTAAGTGTTTATGGCTCTGGAAACTGTTTCTAAAATTCCGCTTATTTATTCATTTCCATAACTATTCATAGGATGCAATCATGCAAATAACAGCTTTATTCATATAGGGCTTGAAAATATTACGATTATATTGCACAATGTTGCACAACAAATGTACATCTATACATATACACAATATATTACATTTTTATATTGTATACATATAATTATATTGTAACTATGTCACATTTATATACATTACAACTTAAAAATGAGTAATTTCTACTTAGATTCAGTATCCAGACAAAAGTATTACTGTTAATTTTAACTCATACATTTTAGTAAGAAGTGGACAGAACATTAGCATTACACATTTGAATTACTTCAGGATACATTTTTATATAAGTAACCTCCAGGAAGTTGCCACACACATGAGCAATTACTGCAATAGTGATTCCAAGAAGTAGGCCAAGAAACCATTTTATTTTTGTCTATGGCCGTTCATTCCTTTAACTCAGTTTTTCTCCATCTTTTAAAACCCTCCTTTGATAAATTTTAAAATCTCATGATTGAAGCTTCCCAGCTCAGCATTCTGTAACACCCTCCTCCCAGAACCCTAAAACTGAGTCAAAAAATACTGATAATGAGAAGACTGAATGTACCTTATTATAATTTTTTTGCTTGTCTACCTGTTGAATATACTGCAGAATCCATGAGGATAGGGTGGGGAAACTGGAAGATAATGGATGGGGATGAAAAGAAAGCTTATCACTGTTTTCTTTGTATTTCTTGACTTTTGAGCCATGCTGTGATGGTTAATTTTATGTGCTTACTTGACTGGGCTAAGGGATGCCCCAAGGGTTGGTAAGACATTATTTCTAAGTGTGTACGTGTGGGTATTTCCAGAAGAGATTCACACTTGAATCACTAGCTGAGTAAAGATGATCCAGCCTCACCTATGTGTGGACATCATCCAGTCTACTGAGTGCCAGGATAAAACAGAAAGGTGGAGGAAGAATTAATTTTCTATTCTTCAACCTAAACATCCATCTTCTCCTGTTTCTGGACATCAAAGCTCTTGATTCTTGGGCTTTGGACTCCAGGACTTACACCAGCACCCCTGAAAACACACACACACACACACATTCTCATGCCTTCAGCCTTGGACTGAGAGACTCATCATTGGATCCCCTGATTCTCAGGATGTTGGTATTGGACTGAATTGCACCACTGGCTGTCCTGGTTCTTCAGCTTGCAGAGGGTGCATCCTGGGACTTCTCAGCCTCCATAATCATGCAAGTCAATTCTCATAATAAATCTCCATGTGTGTGTCTCTCTGTGTGTGTGTATCCTACTGGTTCTGCTTCTCTGGAAAACCTAATGCACATGTGAATAAATTTCCTATTCAAAAATTAAAAAGTCCTCATGATAAAGATTTGTTCCTCAATAGTTAGCACTCAGGTAAACCAGGTTCATTTTTCAAAAGGATTCATTGTAATTGAATTGGCCAAGTCCAGTCACTTTGGTCTGTTAGTATATGAAGGTATACTAAAAACAGGGAATCAGACATTTTGTTATTCTTGAAAATATTATTCTTTCTGTAGTAGAAATGACTGAGAAACAAGATGAATAACAAGGGCACACAGTTACTGACAAGAAGATGGCAAACAGCTGAACACTGGCTAGAATACTATGCTGAAAAAAGATCGGAAGGTAAGTGGGAGATTGATGAGCCATTTCTGCCAAAGGTAAAGAAGGGTGTGGTCATTCATTCACCACCAGGTCAAGCACAATTTGGCCTAACCTGTCCATCTTATGGTGATTGAAATGAGTTGGTATATTTCTCATTGAAGAATTTTAACATATAGAGGAAGTTTGCTATTGGCTCACATGTAGAAATCTTGTTACTATGTGTTTTTCTTATCACCCATTGCTTCTTACCATGACCATTTTCTTCCCATTTTTCAAAATACAAATAAGTCTCAGCCATCTACATTAATCAATGTTGGGTAAAAATGTCCTCTATTTAGCAGTTCTCAAAGCAGCCTTTGTTAGCTTCTTAAAATCCCACAAAGACAGCAAGAGATGAAAAGTTACAATACCACCACCAACAGACTCTGGAAAGAATATTAATCAAGTATAGGACGGAGCAGCTGGATTGAGGACCTATGATAGCCCCATTTCATTGTATGATCAATTTGTCTCAGCTCTGAAGAAAATGCACTTCGATTGGGTGACCAATACAATGTAGTAAAGGTAGTGTCTTAATTCAGAGGCAGATAAAACCAACTCTTTATATTTGAATTTGAAATTCAAAGAGGGGCAGAAATAATGAGGAAATATAAGAAAGCCATGCTGGAAGAAGAACATAGATGAGGAGGGAGTTTACAGTCAGTAATATTAAGAACTTGAAGAATTTGGTCCCAGGAGCAGAAAGAGATGCTAAAATACCAATTCCAAGTTCCATTCATTTTCCTTTGATGTATCATTTTACCGAAACTATAATCTGTCACTTTTTTATAGGATTATGAAGACCCACATCATCTGCCATCTGTTTTAGAAATGCAGCCCATGTCATCCTGACATCTAAATGATGAAGTTCATATCACCTCATTCTCACATCTGCCTGCTGAAACATAAGAAAAGCTTTATTTTGATGTATCTCAGTATCATGTGTAAATGTAGTTCTTTTAAGCCCCCTTTCTGGATAAATTCTGACCTATCAAAAATGCCTAACTCTATCTTTTTGCTTTTTCTCTGAAGGAAATAGTTTGGCAACTTCATTGCTCACCATTGAATGCAAATTGTAGCATTTCATAAATTTGCATTCCAAGGAACGGGACAGTGATTAATAAAAAGAATGGGAAGTCTGGAAATCTTAGAGGGTTGTTCTTGAAATAAGAACAATCCTTCCATGCTTCCTTCCTCAATTTAAGATTTTGTGATGCTCTCTGATGAGCAAAAAAACCAAAAACCACCTTACCAGGTCTGACAGAGTTACTCAGAAGGGATTATTTTGTGTTATTTTTAATGCCGTAACTTAATTATTTTATTTAAATGCTAATTGATTATCCTAGCACAACCCTCTAGTGGCAGAATCAATTTCAGTAATGATGTTGATGGCTGCAATATGATCAACTGAAGCCTCCACCACTAAGGAGTGGAAATGATAGATAGCTCATTAATCATTTATTCCGGAGATGAATGTGTTCAGTTGCTGATAGGGTGCTGTAGGTGAATGCTGCCAAAATGAGAAATGTCAATTGTCAGGCTTCATGCATAATAACTGTGGAGCTATTTTTAAGCTTCTTTGAAGATTAAAGTTATGCCCTTTTTCCCTACAGTTCTGTCACATATACTTGGCAATTCTGTTCTCCGCAAATTCATTTTCACTATGCCCAGATGTCTCTGCTTGAGAAAATACATACAGCTTAAAATCTAGCATATTTGAAAAGTTATTTAGAATCTGCAGTGATCCATACACTGGAAGAGGACTATAAATGAATAAACAAGAAGTCAAATATACAAACCTGGAGAGATGAGTAATTTTTTTGGCCAATTTTTCCATTGAGATATGTTTTATCAGGATGATACATGTTTTTAATTTCCCAGGTCCCCATAGGGGACATACATTTTCTGTTTCATATAACATTTTCTGAAGATAGAAATAACAGAATTCAATAAAATATATTTAAAAACAATAAAATGTTTCTAAAATAGTTGTTCCCAAATGACCTTCAAAATGTGTCCCAGCTTGTCTCTTCATTGTGTCTGATTCTTCCAAAAGAAGAAGAAGTTCCCTACCTGGAGTATTCTCTTTTGGAAGTCAAGAGTATCTTAACATTCATTGAAAGAGTTACCCTCAATTTTCAAAAAAGCATTTAATGTTATTTCAAAAAGCTATGTTAAAAAATGCTAATCAAAAAATGCTAATCTGTCCTGAGTGACAAGTGCCCATACATTCCATTTTTGATTGGAAGAAAAAGATCAGAAGATTTAAAATGATAAAACATATATATTACTTTTAAAAAAGTATTATTTTAGCAAGAGATACTTCTCCCAGATTTGTCACATTGCTGAATATGTTTGCTCCATAAAGTATACATCTTAATCTATTTTGGGAACATTTATGTACCATAAAGATACATATCCATAGTTGTTCAAATATTAAGTATACCTGCTTAATGCATAATAAAAATATGCAAATTGATGAGGAAAATATTTTTTGACACAATATAGCAGCACAGGAACTTTGTAACATTCAAATTTTTACAATGAATTAATATGTGGTGCTGAAAAGGATACTTAGTTTAACATTTTACAGTAGTAACTTATTTATCATCAGCAAAATATGTGGCTGCAATGTGATAAACATGAATTTGGATAAACATGAATTGGGACATCTACTATTCCAAACTCTAGGCTTTCTTATGTGTAAGTTGAGCTAAAATTCTTTAAATAAAAAGATGTAAGATCAACAATTTGCATGAATTCTTACATATATATTTGTTTCAAATTGTAAGACATTAATCCCTTCAAATGCTCCTCCAGACTTCTCTTTGTGACTTTTATTTTAAGAGACTCATTTGATTCCTGTATCTAAATTTCCAGTTAAGAAATTATATTAAGGTAATATGCTTTTCATAAATTGAATGATGAAAGTCTCTACTGAATTATTGCTGCTAACATTACAGAAATTATCATTTAATCCTAAAGCTGCCTTTTTAGCAAAGCATTTTAAAAACATTATGCCATTAGTAGTAGATGAGTAAGAAAATTACATTTTTGAAAAATGTTATGGAAATCTCTATTTCCTCACATTATTTTTAATTAGAAAATAATTTTTAAAAGTGCAAAATGAGAAAATTTAATACAATAAATAGACATTTTATGGCTTTCAGAAAGAGATGCTAAAATGATACGCATTTTATGCAAATGCTATAGCAGATGGAAATATTAAGTTGAGTAGATTTGGGTCTGCTGAAAACTGTGCTTATATCTACCTCTTCCATTAGACATACAACTCCTCCAAGGCAACTATGGTTCCATCAGTCCTTTAACATCAGAACCTTTAACACACTGTTCAGCACAGTTAGGTCTGTGAATGCTTGCTGTTTTGTTGAAGCATAGACACACAGAATTCATCACTTAAACCTAAATAACTTGCTATTATTGGAAATGAATTAAGCAAAGTGCACTCCAGATTAGATTGGACAATAATCACATAAATTCAGTACATAGAGGAGGACAGCTTTCCCACCACAGACCCAAAGCCAAAAAAGAGGAGTCAGGAAATCTCATCAGGAAGATATAGGAGAAAAAACATTGAAATAAAGTTATTAATCATGTACCACTAACCTCAGATAAATCAGACTTATTTTATGTATCCATTTCCCAATATGCTAAATGGAGAACACAATGCACTATTTTAAAAAGTAATAAAGAATTCAGAGGACTGTATCTTATTATTCCTGTGTATTACTAGTGTAGAACAGGAAACCTAGAAAATGCTTTCTGAACAATTATATTTCAATCCAAATTTTCATACTACCTTGTAGCCGGCTTTTTCACCTCATAGAATAAATCCTGAACACATGATTGTTTCACTGTGTTTAATAACAAGATACTAGGTCATGGATAACTTTTCTTTTCTTTTCTGAGACAGAGTCTCTGTCACTCAGGCTGGAGTGCAGTGGTGTGATCTCTGCTCACTGCAACCTCTGCCTCCCAGGTTCAAGTGATTATTCTGCCTCGGTCTGGCACTACAGGTGTGTGCCACCACACCTGGCTAATTTTTGTATTTTTCGTAGAGACCGGAGTTCCACTATGTTGGCCTGGCTGGCCTCAAACTCCTGACCTCATGATCCACCTGCCTTAGCCTCCCAAAGAGCTGGGATTACAGGCATGAGCCACTGTGCCCGGCCCAAGGATAAATTCCCTTTCCTTTCACTTACCAATACATCATGGAATCTTTGTCAGTGAAAATATATTGAATCATTTCTTAGTAACCCACTATAGTTATGTACAATCCTTTATTCTTTTCTATTATTGGACATTTAGGTTTCCAAGTTTTTGTTATAAACAATACTGTGTAAAACCGTATCATAAAAACATATTTGTGCACTTACGCAGTCAATCCCTCAGAAAATATTCCCAAATACTATGTCAAAGGTTATGAACCTTTTTAAGGCTTCTGATTAATACTGTTTACCTGTCCTCAAGACTTAAACTCTCATAAGCCATTATGTCAGAATGTTTCCGTCTCACATCCATGAAAATACCTATTATTTAAAATCTATGCAGACAGGTGAACAGTATTCTACTTTTTAATCAGCATGTAACTGATTTAGTATTTATTTAAATTTGTCAGCTCTTCTATTTTGTTTGCACAAGTGTTTGATTGATATTATCTACTGATTGTTTTTTCCTGGGCTTTGAAAATGTCCTTTATGAATTAAAGGTGTTTGTCATACATGTTGTAGTTTATCAATTTGTTTGCCTTCTATTTATGGTTTTTGCCATACGAAATTTTAATGATTTGGAAAAGAAGGAAAAGCGTGTCTCCTTTTGCTTTCTTCTTTTGCACTGCTAAGTGCAGAACCAGTGACAACAGCATACACATCTTATTCCTGTCTATAGTGAGAAGGATTCTAGCATTTCTCTACTAGGTATGATATGTGAGACAGTAAAATAGGAGGGGATAAGATGGAGAGAAAACATTTCCTTTGCATGATAAAAACTAACCTAAAAAACAAATTAGAGATCAATTTTTGAATTTTATCAAGTGCCTTGTACATTCAAAGAGCTAGTGACATGGTTCTTCTCTTTTGGTGTATTCACAGTAAATATAGTAAATATTACTCAGTACTTAATTCTTGGAATAAACTTGTCATAGTGAATTATTCTCTTACTTATACAACCTACAAAGTAATGCACAGAAGCAGAAAACATAAATTAAAAGTACAGATTAGGAAGCCAAGACTTCTGGAATCTTAAGTCTTGGCTATATTTGCTACTCGTGTAACCTAGGACAAGTGACCTGATGTCCCTATGCCTGAGTTGCCTGATTTACAGAATGGAGACAAAAATGGTATACCTGCCTCATAGGTTTATTGTGAAAACAGGATAATGTATTTGGCAAACAGGCATTAACCGTAATTATCATTCTCCTTAGTATACTAATGCATTTCATACTAATTTTGTGACTTTATAATTAAATTTGTGTTAATTTGATATCTGGGTTGTTAGCTTTTAAAAACTTTGGGAAGCTTTCCTTCAGTACTCTGGGAAAAGTAGTATTTTATAAAAATTAATATATTTGTAAAGTGCTGCTTGTTATAATCAGCAAAGTAACCTACAACATTTTCAGGTAGGAGAGAAAACCAGAAGATAATGGAAGAAGTGAGTAGAGGATAGGGGAGCTGCTATCTAGTAAGCTGTTTTTATCATTGTGATGTGGGTCACTAGACTTGATACAAGATGCTGACCTAACACCAAATATGCCTCTCCTACCTCTGATGCCTGTCTGAGCAGATGTTAGAAATGTGTGCCCACTAGCTTTAATTATGGCCATTCTGGGACAGCAAGTCTCACAGTATACTTTTGATTATCACTACCACCCCAGCATTTTAACTGAAATGAACATCAAGTCTAACAGAATGCCAGAAAAGGAAGAAGTACACAGAATAATCCTGGATACTGTCTCCAAGTATCCAGATTAGGGAGTTAAATTAAAACCTAGTTTAAGAGTTGAGAATAGATATAAAAACTGCAAGTTTTCGGCCGGGCGCGGTGGCTCAAGCCTGTAATCCAGCACTTTGGGAGGACAAGGCGGGTAGATCATGAGGTCAAAAGATCGAGACCATCCTGGTCAACATGGTGAAACCCCATCTCTACTAAAAATACAAAAAATTAGCTGGGCTTGGTGGCACGTGCCCGTAATCCCAGCTACTCAGGAGGCAGAGGCAGGAGAATTGCCTGAACCCAAGAGGCGGAGGTTGCGGTGAGCCGAGATCGCGCCATTGCACTCCAGCCTGGGTAACAAGAGTGAAACTCCGTCTCAAAAAAAAAAAAAACCCTGCAAGTTTTCAGTAATCAATTGTTAAATTTGCCATAATTTTTTCCTCTCGGTTCACTGTTATACCACATTTAACTCCTAGAAGGTCATTTGGAGGATTTTTGCATACAGCAAAATAGTAATACTCCAAATTTATCCAAATTATGGCATATTTCTTTTGAGATAGGATTTAGCTACTTTTGTTTACCCTATATTTGGAGCATTACCATTATGGGAAATTTTCGTTCTTGAGACAAATGTAGGTTCTTTGTTAAAATTATACTGTATTCACTGAAAAAGTACTGCTAGAGGAGTAACCTATGAAAACTAAGGTAGCAATGACTGCTAATCACTGCCATTTATAGAGCACTGTGTGACAGGGATATGGCAAGTCATGTTTATTGCATCACCTAATGCCCCCACACTTTATAAGGTAGGTATTTTTCTACCTTTCTTTTAACATATGAAGAAACTGAAGCTCAAAAAGGTCAAGTCACTTACCAAAGATCCTGAGGCTAGGATTATAAATTTCAAAGACCATTCCTTTACTATTTGCAGTCAAATGAATGACTGAAATACAGTCATCCAATTAAATGCAGAACTATATTCTTTTAAATACTATGTGAAGCATTGATAATGAGAAGCTATTTTTAAAATATAACATTATAAAGAATAACCACAATTCTGGAAAGTGGGTTAAACTAAAAAACAGAGTCTAAAAGGAATGTTACTATAAGTATAAAGTCTGTCATCAAAATAAGTACCAATATAACTTCATGTGGATTATTTGTAAAGGAATCATAATTTCTTTATTAGATACAATGACTTCAACCCAGATTTATTGAATCTTTTAAAAATATTAAAAATTCTTTTATTAAACACTTCTATTGATCATGTTTAGGTAAAATACCTTGTTGAGTTTATAAACCCTAATGCCAGTGACTTTGTGACAAAAATGTGAAAATAATTTGAATCTACCTTCATTGTCCACACACACTGAAATGCAAAACACACACCAGAGACATAAACTGCATGTTTGGGCTTCACAGAAAACAATATGAGGTTGACACACACAATCTTAAAAATATCACCCTTATATATTAGGATTACAAATCAGCATATTACATAATAGACTTTACATTCACATTTTATACTGTATTTCCAAAACTTGTAACTATTTCAGATAAATTCAATAATTTTATATTTTACTTTAGCTAATGAGAAATGAAAATTATAAGAGTTTGATATTACTTAAAGCTGACTTTCATGTTTAGGACATAGTAAATTTGAAAGAAACACTTCGAATGAAATATTAAAGGTAGACGTTATGTGTTTATAAAATGAAATCAATTAAAATTTACTGGAAGGCTGGAAAAAGTACCCTTAATAGCCATCTTTTAAAAAATTTGCATTTCCCATTTCTTTCATTTGAAAAGATTGTCACGTAGATGAGACGTTTAGAGTAGATCTGTATTGCTTCCAACGTTTTCCTAGAAAAGGGTTTTATGTATCAGATATTCAAGGTAAAAAATAAATTTAATCTACTTTTGATATTTAGGTTACACCTCAAACTAATCTGACAGATTTTAGTTTTTATAAGGCAAAACTGCTAATATGAAAGCTCTTAAAATTTTTCAGTTTATTTCTCCAAAATCTAAAAAAAAAAATTAGATTTACTCTTTATGAACACAGCTTCAACTACAAGCTTTCTAGTTCAGTCCCTCTACATATGGCAGATGACAGAGAAGCATCCTGTAAATACTTGGTATTTCTCTTACAACTCTCTAGCTATGAAATCAGAAAAAGTAAATTTTAAATAAAGTCCCTGACTTAGCTCCAGTAACACGTACATTTAAAAACTTACATCTAAAGTGGTCTCTGAAGTGACCCTATTTCCCCACCACCTCCTAGTCTACCTTGGAAAGAACAAAGAATGTTATTCCTAATCAGGAGGGAATTTGACAGTACAGAAACACTGACATAGATTATGCTAAATGGTTAGTCACATATAATCTTGCATAGACTTTGTATTCAGTAAAATATTCTCGGATGATAAGGATAAGATGACAAATTAATATGGAGAAAAACCTTTGAAGACAAATTAAGACATTGGAAAGCAAAAGGTAGAAAGTGAAAATTTTATATGTTCACCTGAAATGGTACATGTTTTTCTCCTCTGAAGAGAAAAAGTTGTAAGACAGATTCATCTTGGCTTTTCTAGGAAGACAATGTCTATGCCAAAAGATTGCTTATCTTAAAATAAAAACATATGAAAGAAAAGCCTCCTTTGAAAAAATATATATATTTATACATACACACACAAACATGCATATGCATATATATAACATATATTAATAAAAAGTATTCTCCAGAATGGGATAGGGACTCTCCAATTCTAAAAGAAAGAATCTATAATTTTAAATTTATCTGAAAGAAATCTAAGCACAGCTGAACTTAAAATTATTGTCTGAATCAGTGAATTAGTCATTTTATTTTAAAAGTGCATGGATTTTATTGAAAGATATCCAATTTCAGCTTTGAAGATACAGGCTCAAGGTCTGTTCTTGGCTATTCCAGAAATTCTTGTAGAATGTTCATAATTTCAACATAAACTTAGAAAGTGTTTCTAAAACAGACTTTTCTTTTTTTTTCTTGAGACGGAGTTTCGCTCTTGTTACCCAGGCTGGAGTGCAATGGCGCAATCTGGGCTCACTGCAACCTCGGCTCACCGCAACCTCTGCCTCCTGGGTTCAAGCAATTCTCCTGCCTCAGCCTCCCAAGTAGCTGGGACTACAGGCGAGCGCCACCATGCCCAGCTAATTTTTGTATTTTTAGTAGAGACGGGGTTTCACCATGTTGACCAGAATGGTCTCGATCTCTTGACCTCGTGATCCACCTGCCTTGGCCTCCCAAAGTGCTGGGATTACAGGCATGAGCCACCACACCCAGCCTAAAATAGACTTTTCTACCTACTGAACAGAACTCACGTCCATACTCTGATATTTGTTTCAGCAGCATTTTTCTCTGTGAAGCACATCAAAATCACTCACACATCAAATTGCTGATCTGATAGAATGATTTATTTTCCCATTACAGGGAAGTCATGAATGACTTGTTCTGAGGTATGTTTCTGAGCTATGAAGGACACCTATTAGAAAGCTCCACACTTGAAGGTTTCTCTTAAGGTGATAACATTTTATGGCTGGACAGTCTCTGCAGGTACCAGATTCCCTGTTGTATCCAACTGCATACATTTACACGTGCATGCAGACACAGGGCACTCTGCGTGGTCCCTAAAAAAATAGGTCAAATAACAGTTAAAAATCCAAATTAGACATATACACATTTATTTATCTAAAAAAATTTTTTTAAAAGAGACAGGGTCTTGCTATATTGCCCAGGCTGGACTCACATAGCTGGACTCCCACTCCTGGGCTCAAGCAGTGCTCCTGCCTCAACCTACTGGATTAGCTGGGACTATAGGCATGCACTGTTCCCACCTGTTTACTTAGATTTATCTATAATGCAACTTTTCAAAATGGCATTTGGAAAAATACACAAACTAAAACCCAGAGGAAAAAAGCATCAAAAGTATCAAATTATAAATTATTGCCAAGCTGAACTTTAGGGAGAAGTTAAAAAATACAGACCTTTTACATTCTACATATATGGCTAGATATTTCATTTACAGTTGTGAAGGTGACAGGGATGTGCTCAGAGTTTAAATTAGCTAGTGAGACAAACTGGGTATAAATGCTGTATCAATGAGGAGCACAGGGCCACTGGCACCATTCAAAATAAAATTCAATTATGGTCTTGAGAGTTTCAATTGCATGACGATATAAAAAGCTTACTTAGAAGAGAACTGAGGCAGCAGTATGATATGCACTTTTATAATGTCATTATTAATTCAATCGCATGATAAATTACAGCATATTCAGTTATAAAAAACTCTAAACACATCCTCTCTCCGAATAAAGTTAAATAATATTATTCAAACATTTAACTCATGCAAAAGATTTGAACTAGTTCTTATATAATTATTACCTTTATAGTTTAAGGTTACATAGGATATCTAATGATGAAATAAATGTTCATAACACCTTTGTTAACACAAGCGACAGTAAAAATAAAATTCATACTTTGGGTAAATGTTAGCAGATAAACACAAACTATTTAGAAGCAATCTGTGTTACCTCTTCTAACTCCAAGCCTATCAAAGAAGAAATGTGCTAATTACCTGAACCAACTAAGCATATGTCCGGCATGCCCACCGTGCCTGCAATTGTGACACCATGTAAACCAGTTGTTAAACTGGGCTAGTTTTTTGTCCTTACTTAAGTCCACTTTTTCATCTGATTTGGTTCCTCCTATGAGAAAAGAAAATAATCTTCATTAACTGCATCATCATATTTTTTTTTTTTTTTTTTTTTGAGACGGAGTTTCGTTCTTGTTACCCAGGCTGGAGTGCAATGGCACGATCTCGGCTCACCGCAACCTCCGCCTCCCGGGTTCAGGCAATTCTCCTGCCTCAGCCTCCCAAGTAGCTGGGATTACAGGCACGCGCCACCAAGCCCAGCTAATTTTTTGTATTTTTAGTAGAGACGGGGTTTCACCATGTTGACCAGGATGGTTGTGATCTCTTGACCTCATGATCCATCCGCCTCGGCCTCCTGAAGTGGTGGGATTACAGGCATGAGCCACCGGGCCTGGCTACATTACAATATTTTATTTAAAGTTACTTTCAAAAGGCATTTCTAAAACTATGTTCGAAATATGAATCACACATCATATTTAAATAACAATTTTGATGTTAGGTTCTAGTTTAGATGGAGTGAAACTGAATTACAGGAGCTTCCCTACATTTTTAATAGCCAATACAAAAATAGAAAAATATAAATTATCAAAACCCACTAAGAAACAATCTAAATTTAACACTTTGGGGAGACCAAATCAGTAGTTTAAAATCTTTCCACAAGGAAAATACCAGGCCCAGTTTACAAGTGAATTTTACCTAACATTCAAGGAACAGGTAGGACTGGGCATGGTGGTTCATGCCTGTAATCCCAGCACTTTGGGAGGCTGAGGTGGGCAGACTACTTGAGGCTAGGAGTTGGAGACCAGCCTGGCCAACATGGCAAAACCCCATCTCTGCTAAAAATACAAAAATTAGCCAGTGGTGGCGACACATGCCTGTAGTCCCAGCTCCTTGGGAGGCTGAGGCACAAAAACTGCCTAAACCTAGGAATTGGAGGCTGCAGTGAGCCGAGAGAGTGCTGCTGCACTCCAGGTTGGTTGACAGAGCAAGACTGTCTCAAAAAAGAAGAAAGACAATCAAGGGACAGGTAATTCTCATCTGTACAAGGCCTTTCAAAGAAGGAAAAAAGAGGAAAAGTTTCCCAATGCACTTCATGAGACTTGAGTAACTTAAGCAATTGCTTAATTAGACTTAATATTTTTACTTAATTGTCATCTATTAAGACATTATGCATCGATAACTATGTTCAAAATTTTGCTTGGACCATTGCAGGTCACACTTTCAGGATCAAAAGGATAATCTTACAGTTGGGAATAGTTTTAAAAAATATGTTTTTGCTGATATGAGGTGAAAGGATGTATAAGTAGTTCAATGACTTAAGATGTAAATACACTAAATTTATTCCTGAAAGGGTTACCAAAGATTAATAATCAGAGGGCAAAAAGGAAAGGGGGAAGAGAAAAATTAAATATAGATCTGATATGGACACTGCTTTATACCTTTGTGTAAAGCTCTCATTAGTGCTTGTCATTTTCTTTTTGTAACTTCTAACATAAACAGAAAACAGACTGAATCAGAACAAACATATCCTTACATTTTTCTGATAAAGCTGGAAGTATTAAGATCTACCTCACTGCCAAGTTTAAAGGCTTTTTTAAGATCAAATGACTTTAAATTTTAAAAGATTCACCGGGCGCGGTGGCTCAAGCCTGTAATCCCAGCACTTTGGGAGGCTGAGGCGGGTGGATCACGAGGTCAGGAGATCGAGACCATCCTGGTCAACATGGTGAAACCCCGTCTCTACTAAAAATACAAAACATTAGCTGGGCATGGTGGCGCGTGCCTGTAATCCCAGCTACTCAGGAGGCTGAGGCAAGAGAATTGCCTGAAACAGGAGGCGGAGGTTGCGGTGAGCCGAGATCGCGCCATTGCACTCCAGCCTGGGTAACAAGAGCGAAACTCCGTCTCAAAAAAAAAAAAAAAAAAAAAAAAAAAAATTTTAAAAGATTCACAGTGAATTATCAAGACACATGCCACAGAACACTTTAGGGGAAACTAGAGTTTCACTTGTGTACTAATTCATAATGTGAGAAGAAAATGAAGGAAACCAGTATATAATCTAACTTTCAAAAAATGTGTCATTGTCCAAAAATTAAGTTCTATCAGGACAGGGATTTTTGTTTTGTTTACTGTAACATTTCTAGCACTTGGAACACTAGGTACCAAATAAAATTTGTTTAATAAATAATATTTATAATGTTTATACTGATGTTAGAACTGTTTGAGTTCTAATCTTCAAAGCACAATTGAATATAAAAATATCAAGTCTCAGTTAAATAAACTTACAGAAATTCCAGCTATTTGACTCACAAAGCATAATGGATGGATGTAATCTCTGACTGCAGGCAAAGCACCAGGGAGGTTTAGATACTCAAGCCATTAGCCAGCACTTCTTGATTTCTCTGAGATACTGTTTTATTTTGGAACTAGGACTATTCTGATTTCACATATCACACACACACACACACACACACACACACACACACACACACACAAATGCTTTCTTAACTTTTACTTTAGTTTCAGGGGTCCATGTGCAGGTTTGTTATACAGGTAAATTGTGTATCATGGGGGTTTTGGTGTACAGACTGTAATCCAGATAATAAACATAGTACCTGACAGGTAGTTCTTTTTTTTTTTTTTTTTTTTTTTTTTGAGATGGAGTTTCGCTCTTGTTACCCAGGCTGGAGTGCAATGGCGCGATCTCGGCTCACCGCAACCTCCGCCTCCTGGGTTCAGGCAATTCTCCTGTCTCAGCCTCCTGAGTAGCTGGGATTACAGGCACGCGCCACCATGCCCAGCTAATTTTTTGTATCTTTAGTAGAGACGGGGTTTCACCATGTTGACCAGGATGGTCTCGATCTATCGACCTCGTGATCCACCCGCCTCGGCCTCCCAAAGTGCTGGGATTACAGGCTTGAGCCACCGCGCCCGGCCTTTTCTTTTATTTCAATCCTCCTCCAATCCTCCACCCTCCGGTAAGCCCTGGTGTCTGTTATTCCTTCTTTATGACCGTATTTACTAAATCTTTAGCTCCTACTTATAAAGTGATAAAATGTGGTATTTAGTTTTCTGTTCGTGTGTTAGTTTGCTTAGGATAATAAGGTCTCCAGCTCTATCTATGCTGCTGCAAGGGACATGGCTGCATAGTATTCCATGGTGTTTATGTACCACATTTCCTTTGTCCAGTCCACCACTGATGGGCATTATAGTTGACTCTATGTCTTTGCTATTGTAAATAGTGCTTATTATTCTCTAAGTCAGCTCAGCAATGCCTTTAAAGATCATATTCAGGCTCTCCCTAATTCTCCTACTGTTCTTATCAGTCCACTTCCTAGGTCCTTTCACACTGATGTACTTGCTCTTCCCATATACTCCCTGTACTTATCATACTTACCAGTCTCTTCACCCTAGTTTGCTTTTTACTCTCGGTCTACAACCTGGAAGCCTTCCCTGCAATCTTCGTATATTAAATCTTCCAAACTTTAAAGGACTGGCTTAAATGGTAAATTCTTTCTGAAGCTTTCCAGATATCTTCAGATAAAAGTAATGTTTCCCACTTTGAAAATTCCTAATTCTTTCCTATATAATAGTCCTAATTCATGTTGGGGTTTTAGATGTGTTTCAGAAGGCAGACTGTTTTGGGATTTTAGAAAAATAATAAACAGCAAATATGTACACTTCGAGGGAAGTCTGAAACACCCTGTAATCCAACTTGTTAATATTTCTGCAGTGAAACATAAATATTCACAAATAAACAAGAGAAATAAATATCTTAATAGCCTCACATCAATTCTGAACAAGTTTTGTGGCCAAATAAAATTACTGTAATTTCTCTTTTTTTTTTGAGGTGGAGTTTCGCTCTTGTTACCCAGGCTGGAGTGCAATGGCACGATCTCGGCTCACCACAACCTCCGCCTCCTGGGTTCAAGCAATTCTCCTGCCTCAGCCTCCTGAGTAGCTGGGACTACAGGCACGCGCCACCATGCCCAGCTAATTTTTTGTATTTTTAGTAGAGACGGGGTTTCACCACGTTGACCAGGATGGTCTTGATCTCTCGACCTCGTGATCCACCCGCCTCGGCCTCCCAAAGTGCTGGGATTACAGGCTTGATCCACTGCGCCCGGCCTGTAATTTCATTTTTAAAAGGCATAGGATTTTCAGAACTTTTTAGAGACTTTGAAATGACAGATAAGGAATTGTAGACCAGTATTTATTTTCTAGAAAATATCACTTATGCCAGGCGCGGTGGCTCAAGCCTGTAATCCCAGCACTTTGGGAGGCCGAGGCGGGTGGATCACGAGGTCAAGAGATCGAGACCATCCTGGACAACGTGGTGAAACCCCATCTCTACTAAAAAATACAAAAAATTAGCTGGGCATGGTGGCGTGTGCCTGTAATCCCAGTCACTCAGGAGGCTGAGGCAGGAGAATTGCCTGAACTCAGGAGGCGGAGGTTGCGGTGAGCCGAGATTGCGCCACTGCACTCCAGCCTGGGTAACAAGAGCAAAACTCTGTCTCGGAAAAAAAAAAAGAAAATATCACTTATTTTATATTCATGATCTATGTTTATTGTACACCATAAGCTCCAAGAGGTTCTCTGATTTATTCATCTCAGCACCTCATCCTTATCTTAATGTATCAAGTAAAATCAGTACTCAAATATGTATTATATATAAAGAAATTATTTCTGAAACAAATATGGAAAAAAATTCTATATCAAATATGGAAAAATGTTAATATTTGATAAACCTGAGTGCTGACTATTCATTACATTAGTCATCAAAACAAAGAGTTTGAAATGTTTTAAGATTATTCTTCAAGTTCTAGGAAATCATTTTCTCTTCTAACCTACTTCAAAAATAGAAAAGATTGAGAAGCTGATATCCAGCAAAAAGGAAGACTGCCCAGGTATAAGAAGGCAAATAATCCTTATAGCTTCCTGAGGCTTATGGTCCAAAAGATGTGTTACATTTATTTCTACAAATCTCAGCTCATATATATATGACTTATTTATACTATATTTTACCTCCTTGTTCTCTCATTGTTGTAGATATTTCAAATTGTTATTTTCTGTTTATTAGGACCAGAGTAACATAAAAGAGTGATCAGTATGCAATGTATAAAATGAAAATCCTTGATTAAAATTTAAATCAAAACTATATATAAAACATTAAGTATTGCTTTCATTTCTTTAAAAAAAAAGCATCTAGATGGAAAAATAATTGCTAAGCCAATAATACCAGCAAGTCTTTCATAAATGTTAATGTAATGATAAAGCAGATTACTTAAATGAACAAGATAATACAGAAAATGAACAAGATACAGAACAGAATTATAAAATGCCTGCAATAGAAAAGATCTCCAGTCCATAGGAAGGTGAAAGTAACTCTCAATGTCACAGAGTGAATGTCACAGAGCTAGAATTAAAACAGACATTTTGACACTCTATCCAGTTCATTATCACCTGTGTACCAAATACCTAAAATGATTTTAATTATAAATTTTGCCATAGTATCATTTTCAAATTAGGTAAAGAGCTAGAATAATTCCAGCCACCAGGTATAAGATATTTGGTTACTATTCTCAAAAATTGTTTTTTGTTTACTATAAAGAATAAAAAAAATCTTAATATTTCTAACCATTATAAAATATAGGCTGAGCATGGTGGCTCATGCCTATAATCCCAGCATTTTGAGAGGCTGAGGCAGGTGGATTGCTTGAGTTCAGGAGTTCAAGACCAGCCTGGGCAACAAGGTGAAACCTTGTGGTCCCAGCTACTTGGGAGGCTGAGGTGGGAGGATCATCTGAGCCCAAGAGGCAGGAGGCAGAAGGCAGAGGTTTCAGTGAGCCAAGATCACGCCACTGCATTCTATCCTGCACAACGGAGTGAGATCCTGTCTCAAAAACAAAACAAAACAAAACAAAAACACTATCTATACATAAAATTTACTAGGTAACTGACAAACAGCATCAAAATCTAGAAGTCAAAGGACCTCACTTCACTTCTAGGTTAATACTTTCTGTATGTATTTTCTTATTATTTTTTAAATTATTATTATTTTTATGGAGATGAAGTCTTACTCTGTGGCCCAGAATGGAGTGCACTGGCATGATCTTGGCTCACCGAAACCTCCACCTCCCTGGTTGAAGCAATTCTCCTGCCTCAGCCTCCTGAGTAGCTGGGACTACAGGTGCGTGCCACCACGCCTGGGTAATTTTTTGTATTTTTACTAGAGACGGGGTTTCACCTTGTTAGCGAGGATGGTCTAGATCTCCTGACCTCGTGATCTGCCCACCTTAGCCTCCCAAAGTGCTGCACTTATAGGTATGAGCCACTGTACCTGGCCAAAAAACTTTTTTATAGAGATGGGGTCTCACTTTTTTGCCCAGGCTGGTCTTAAACACCGAGGCTCAAGTAATCCTTCTGCCCCGGCCTCTCAAAGTGCTGGGATTATAGACATGAGCCACTGCACCTGACCCTTCTGTATATATTTAACAGGTAGGTTGTGAAGATGAAATAAGAAATGTCAAAGTGCTTTAATAATGTCAGAAGTTCCTTAGGAATACAAAGTATCTGTTAATAGGTGCGGGTAAACTGACTTTTAAATAATCAAATTTGAACAAAATCCCCTTGAAAGGGTGATAAGAAAATGCTTATATTTTAAGATTATTTCATATGTAAGCTTTTCTCACAAACTTTAAATTGGTCAGAACTTGTGAAATTACCTAAAGCATCAATAGATATAGATTTTACTTTTAATGTTCATATTTCATAAATTATAGGAACATAAGAGTCTTCGAGCTAGGAAACTGCCCTTTCTTAGAAATAATAACAAACTCAAGCTAGTTTGTATTTTATTTGCAATGTTAACTCAATTATGTAAGAATCATTCAGCTCATAAAAGTATTTTGTAGAATTAGGTCATACCAGGACAGCTAGAAACTGGTGTTCCCATATTAATGAGACAAAGTGCACATCGAGGAAGGGGTTTTCGACAGCCAGGACAACTTGTGACTTTAGATTTCGTTGGTGAGCCACTCACACCATACTGACTAAAACCTCTGCCCTGATGAGGCACAGCTGAACAGCTGTAGGAGATTGACTTGCCACAGAAATTGCAACTCACAAAAACCTACAAAATAAATGAAAGAAGAAATAAATGTAATGCAAATCATAATGGAATGCTAAATAATTTAGTTTGGTCCTAACAAATTATTTTAAAATACTTTTTAAAAACTTTGTATTTTGAAATTTATCTGCTTAGTTCGACTAGCTCTCATTTAAAATCTTTATTTAGCCAATACATTTTTTGGGTACTTCCTTCTTAATTATATTTTTACTAATACCACTGAAATTAGTGGAAGAACTCAAACTTTATAGACTCCAACATTTTAGAGGTAATGACTTCAGAATTTACACTAGGCCATTATAAAATATCTCAATATGACTTCTAAACCAAAGTTCAGAGATGTAATCTTCTGGACAAAATTTTTTTATAAAGAAAACACTGTTTCTAAGACAAAAAGGAGTTACCAATCTTACAATGGTAGTTAAATTTTTAGAATAATAGCAATAGCTGTTCATTTTGTTTTTACAGTAAAGTACTAGGCTCTAAATCACTTGTCATATAGACTAGCAATATGTACTACCATGTAATGCTATTTTACCAATACTCTGGTTTTAATATAAGCACTTTCTCCAGTTCCTAAAGTAAGAAAATAGCACCATCCAGTGCTCATATTGTGGATAACCTAATATTTAATATCTGAACTAAGACACAGTGATTTAATGTGATATACCTTATGTGACAACAATCTCATTTTATTAAACTAATGCTTAAAAAATATTTTTCCATGTATAATTACTCATATAAATACAGGTAATACTGCTAAAGCCTAGAAACACCCAAATCTGCCATACTGAACATATACTAGAAATATACTGGAAAACTTCAGGCCTGCTGTGGTTTGTTCTATCTCAGACTAAAGCTCAAGCCACTGAGATGATTGTTAGCAAGAAGCAGAACCAAAGGAAGATTAAGAACAAAGTTCAATCTAGAATAAAGACTTCAATGGGAATTCAATATAAGCAAAATAATGAGCTAATAACTTATTAAATTGAACATCAACATATTACAATCTGATTTTCTCCAAAAGAATGTACTTACTTGTGCTAAAGGCTTGGAACTGGGATCCAACTTACTCCTGTGAATATCAAATTCAGCTCGTTTATGCCAAAACCTCCAGGCATCTAATAAATTTCTATAATTCTCAATCCAGTATTGAACCCTTTCATCTTTAAGAACATCTAAAGGTGAACCCTAAAACAAAAACATGAGTTACTTCAATTGTTTAAAATCTCCCAGCTGGGCCAGAGACTTCTGGGTAGCATGTAAGTATGAGTTACACAAAAGAAATAGGCCTCTCTCTCTCTCTCTCTTTTTTTTTTTTTTTTTTTTTTGCCAAAAGCTGGCTCCTAATGATGATGTAGAAAAAATTTATGGAATCTCCATTAATTTATCTCAAGCTGGGTTCCACTACTGACATAAATACATACTTTACATATCATACCCGGTCAGGGAAGTGTAATTCTCTACCTTTTAGTTAAGTTTAAGAAAACAGAACTTCATGGTTAAATGTTGAATACCCTTTGTCTCAGCAATTAAAAACCTCTAGGTTCACAAACTCTGTTTACTATTAAAACCAAATGTAATACAAGCTGGGCATGGTGGCTCAGGCCTGTAATCCCAGCACTTTGGAAGGCCAAGGTAGGTGGATCACTTGACATTAGGAGTTTGAGACCAGCCTTGCCAACAGACTGAAACCCTGTCTCTAGTAAAAATACAAAAATTAGCCAGGTGTGTGGCAGGCGCCTATAATCCTAGTTACTCATGAGGCTGATGCCTTTACTTGAAGGTGGACGTTTCAGTGAGCCGAGATTGTGCCACTGCACTGCAGCCTAGGCGACAAAGTGAGACTCCATCTTAAAAAAAAAAATCCAAATGCACACCAAAACTGCTCAGTGACATTTGAACTAATAGCTTGGTCCTTCCTATCTAGCAATGCATGGTAAACTGAGATGCTGCTTTTATGTATCTGTTTATCTGTATGTTAAACCTGTCTATACTAACTCTTGCCGTCAATTAAAACATACATTTTTTGCCTTGAAAATAATAAAACAAGAAAAAGGAAACCAAATACCTTCTTAGCTCTTTTGCCCCTAGCCACAGTTAAAAGCAACACCTTGTTTTAGTTAAATTCACTTTAGAGTTCTTCTCATTAAGAACTTCAAGAATTTTCCTAAAGTTGTATTTTCCCCGGTAGCTATGATGTTCCAAATTTCATCTATGCTTGCTTTAGGTTTTCTTAAAAAGACTTTTAGCCCTGTCCAGGATCTCTTTCTTAATTTTACATGATGCAGAAAATAGAAAAAGTGTCTACTTTTAATGATGCTTTGACATCAATCTGAAGCTCAGTTTTCTCAGTCCTACTTGAGGGCCAATAGAAAAGTAAATTTCAGAGAGAACCTGGCATATATCTTACTTATATATATACATAAAAAAAGAACAGAAATCCGTAACAGCTAATACAATCTTGAGACATCCAATCAAACACTAAAGCAGCCGTTCATCTATTCAATTTGGTGTTAATTACCAGAGTTAAATTTAGCTAAAAGAACATATGAAACACTTAGCTTACAATTTCATTTCTTAAAAAATAGAGGTCCACTCTAGCCCTAATTATGACCAACTGGCAGAACTAAGTACCAAAGTAGCATATAATCCCAGGTTTAAAAAGAAAATTCACAGAAAAATAACATGTTTCCATATCTCATTCTTTCCCCTTATACGGCAGGAAGGAGATAAACTAAGAAAGAATTTGGTCAATATATATGCAGTAAGTCTTTTCTAGATCCTTTCCAATAAACCCTAATATCAAGCCCCAGGATCTGTAAAGAAAACAGTTCAGAGACTGAGTCTGACCAAATTTAAAATGGCTTGGAAAAACAGTGTTTTGATTAGTGGAGAGATAAGGAATCTGAACCGAGAAATGTAAACCAGGGGGCTCCAACCCTGTATATACCCCCGGGTACATGGCCTGGTACAAACTGGGTCACACAGCAGGAGGTGAACGGCAGGGCAATGAGTGAAGCTTCATCTGTATTTATGGCTGCTCCTCATTGCTCACATTACTGCCTGAGCTCTGCCTCCTGTCAGATCAGTGATGGCATTAGATTCTCAGAGGAGAGTGAACCCTACTGTGAACTGCACATGTGAAGGATCTAGGCTGCATACTCCTTATGAGAACTGAATGCCTGATGATCCGTCACTGTCTCCTGTTCTTAGATGGGACCATCTAGTTGCAGGAAATAACCTCAGGGCTCCCACTGATTCTACATTATGGTAAGTTATATAATTACTTCACTATGTATTACAGTGTAATAATAATAGAAATAAAGTGCACAAGAAATACAATGTGTTTGAATCACCCCTAAACCAACCCCCTGGTGCTAAAAGGTTGGGGACCACCGATGTAAACTATAACAAAGTTAAGATTCTATAACTGAAAAGCAAAAATAATTGAAACGAACAATTCCCTGGAAAGTTTAACAGCAGATGGAGGTGATGGACAAGTCCATAAGTCAACAGAAATCAATGAATTTGGGCCAGGCACGGTGGCTCACGCCTGTAATCCAACACTTTGGGAGGCCAAGGTGGGCAGATCACTTAAGGACAGGCATTTAAGACCAACATGGCCAACATAGTGAAACCACGCCTCTACTAAAAATTAGCCAAGCATGGTGGCATATGCCTGTAATCCCAGCTACTCGGGAGGCTGAGGCATGAGAATCACATGAATGCTTGAATCTGGGAGGCAGAGTTTGCAGTGAGCCAAGATTGTGCCACTGCACTGCAGCCTGGGTGACACAGCGAGACTCTGTCTTTAAAAAAAAAAAAATTAACCAATTTGAAGAATAGAGGGGAAAAAAAACACGGATGGAAAAAGAATAGAGCCTCAGGCACCTATGGACACTATGATATGGTTTAATACATATGTAGTAAGAGTATTAAGAAAAATAAGTTTGAGGCAGAAAAAAAATATTTAAAGAAATAACATCCCTGAACTTCTCAAATTTGATGAAACATAGACTTGCAGAGTCAAGAAGCTCAGTAAACCACAAACAGGATAAAAGAACAACAACCAGGCATATTAAGGTCATACTACTGAAAAATTAAAGAAAAAAATATTGGAAGAAACCCAAAGAGACTGTCCTACATAAAAATAATAGAAGACATTTTATTGATGGTTGCAAGGAAAACAAGTTTACTTAAACATTAAAAATCAGGATTTAGGCTGGGCATTCTGGAAGGCTGAGGCGGGCAGATCACTTGAGGTCAGGAGTTAAGACCAGCCTGGGCAACATGGTGAAACCCCATTTCTATCAAAAATACTAAAAATTAGCCAGAAGTAGTGGTATGAATCTGTAGTCCCAGCTACATGGCAGGCTGAGGTGAAAGGATCGCCTAAGCCTAGAGGCTGCAGTGAGCCGAGATCCACCCCACCCTGGGTGATAAAGCAAGACCCTGTCTCAAAAAAAAAAAAAAAAAGAGAAAAAGAAAAATGGAAACAAGCATAAGAACAGCTGACTTCTCATCAGAAACAACAGAGGCCAGAAGACAATGAAACTGTATCTTTAAAGTGTTGAAAGAAAAAGAAGGGGTGAAACAGACATTTTCAGTTATAATTTGAGAGACTCCGTCACCTATATTACAAGGAATACTATAGGATTTATAGAAAGGATAAAGAATGGCAGGAATGATAAATAAGTGAATAAATATAAAAGCCCATGTTTTCTTTTCATAATTTACAAAAAAGACAAATGACTTAAAAAAAAACACTATAAGTTGCAGTATATAGTATCTGTAAAAGTAAAACATATGGCAATAGGGCAAGAGAATGGATGTGTAAATGAAATCACATTCTTGTGACATTTGTGAAGCAGGAAGTAAAACCCAGAAAGAATCAATGTGATCTAAGAAAGGGTAAAGTAGAAAGCATGTGTCAGGTGTGAAATGTTAAGTATGAGAAGGTAAAATGTTGACTTTGATGAGTTAAGAATGCTTATTGTGGCCGGGCGCGGTGGCTCAAGCCTGTAATCCCAGCACTTTGGGAGGCCGAGGCGGGTGGATCACGAGGTCAAGAGATCGAGACCATCCTGGTCAACATGGTGAAACCCCGTCTCTACTAAAAATACAAAAAATTAGCTGGGCATGGTGGCACGTGCCTGTAATCCCAGCTACTCAGGAGGCCGAGAGAGGAGAATTGCCTGAACCCAGGAGGCGGAGGTTGCGGTGAGCCGAGATCGTGCTATTGCACTCCAGCCTGGGTAACAAGAGCGAAACTCCGTCTCAAAAAAAAAAAAAAAAAAAAAAAAAAAAGAATGCTTATTGTTAGACCTACAGCAATATTTTTTAAAAAATAATGAAAAGGGGTATAGCTAAAAAGCCAATGGAGGCAATAAAATGAAACATGGAAATATTAACCCAAAATAAGGTAGAAAAGGAACATAAGAACAAACGGGAAAAGGACAAACAAAATGGAAAACAAACAGCAAGATGGTAGACAACCTTGACCATATAAACGTAAATGAAGGAAACACCCCAATTAAAGGCAGCAATTATCAGACTGGATTTTTAAAAAGCAAGATCTGATTAAGTATTGTATGCATTTTAAATATAAAAATCTTGGTAAGAAGTTACCCATTTGTACTCTGTAGCTATCTATAGCCATATATATATATACCTTAATTTAAAAGACAATTATATTTCAGCGAGAAAAAAATGTTACAGAAGGATACGTTTTTCTTCCATGGGCAGTGGCTTGATACATTAGGTGTATCAAGACCACATTTACTTTGTGGTCTGTTTGTGGGCCAGAATCTCTATATATGTACAAGAAGGTACAGTGGGAAAGGGGGCATTTTCCTGTGTTTACCCACTACACAGTATGCTATCACACTGTTATATGAGGATGAGGGCAGGAAAGAGGAAAATACCAACACCATGTAAGGATGAGATCAGCTAGAGGGCTACAGGAAATCTCAGGAGAATACTCTAAATTTTACCATATTTCCAGCAAAAGTAAAGCAGACAGCAACCTTTGCCTGGAATCTGTTTTTAATCATTGGGACAGTAAAAACTGAGAAAATATAGATAAGTTAGTTATCCCAAGTCACCCCCATTGATAATAAAAAGAGAAAAAGAAAGCTGAGAGCTGTCGTATATTGACTTCGGCACTTCAAGTGAGACTGTAGTTCAGATCAGGAAAAGGCAGTCTTTCTTGTGGAAGATGTACTTATGTCAACAACTGGAGAAACTGAAGAGAGGTTTCTCTTTTCATTTGAACTTTACATAAATTTAGATGCAGTCAAGACCGGCCATTCTCAGATTGAAAGGAAAAACTGGATAACTCAATGAAGAGACTTAGGGACAGTAAGATAAGGCACAAGTCTTTAGTAGATCAACTCATTAGGTTAAAGTTGAATGCCTTTTAAAGATCCTAAGTAGGCAAAAGTGCATACTTATTTTCAACTAAGGAAAGAAAATATAGAGTATTATTACTTTTTAAAAGCTGCTGTCAAACTGCACTGACCTGTAACATGCAGTAACTTGCTGTTTGAACATCTCCAGTTCTATCAACATAACTCTCCATTAAGTCCACTCCATCTTTAGTAAGGCCTGTAAGCAAAATTCCTTCCAAATTTCCAGCTTCTTTCATTTCATTGGTCAACTTTTCAATGTATCTATTTAACTGGAATATTCAAAATGATTTTTCTAAAGCAATGTTTCACTATGTATTTTGTACTTCAAAATACTATGTTTTGAACAATTTCATTCCTAATGGAAAGCATTTTAAAACAAAAGACTTTACTAAAATATACATGTGTAACTAAGAAGTCTGCATCTATTACAAATTCCAAAGCAATATCCATAATCATTTAAAATATTTTAAAAAGGTATTTACTATGTTGATAATTAATCCAAAAAAGAACTACAGATAGTTTACTATTTTAAAGAGAATTGTCCTGATTATTCTGCAAAGTGTTTGCTGCCTATCATAGTAGTATATAATAGAATCCCAAAATCTGAGTTGGAAGGGAACTTCAAGATCGTCGAGAATAACCATCTCCTTTAGGTTTTTCCTGACTTTAACCCACCGCAAACAAACTCTAGCCAAGATTCCTCCATATTTCCCCAGAACATTTTCATTATTATAGTACTTAGCACACAGTATTACTAGTTGTTCACATGCAATTCTCCCTCACTATATGCACAGCACAGACATTTAACATTGTTTAATGTATTGAAAATGAGGAATCCTTTTATAGCATCACTGAGATCTACTAACTAATCTTACCCTCCAACAAAGAAATATACTAAAATATTAAGTCAGTATTCTAAACAAATAAATATAGTTATGGTAAACATTTTCAAAATATTTTTTGAAGATTCACACATCAATATCACACATATGTAATTATAAAGACTAGCTTTTTACAATAATTGTGACAATAAATATTAATCACTTCAAATGTAGAACTAAATCAGTTTTCACCTGAGTATCACTAAGGAATTTGCAAGCAAATGCCACTCTGTCACGTACTGCAACTTTGTCTTCATACTGGAAAGAACAGAAAAAGCAAAAAGTTACTTCTAGGTGCACTGAGTTTTAAAGCTTTACAGAGACTAAATGCTTTATATAAATAAAATGGAATATATGTATTTCCAAATTTATTAATAAGTTATCATATATATCTTGCAGAGCCATTAATTGCCTGAGATGCCTTTCTTGATATAACTCTTAGAAAACTCAGCAATAAGGTTTTGTGCTTGCAAAGTAAAAATTTACCTTTTAAACACTGATGAAATTCAGTTTTAAAAAATCTAGATCAGTCTTATGTAACTCCAATATAAAACATAAGCAATGATGTACAGTATATCAAATTTAATATGCCACATAACCATTCCATCATAGAAATTAATTTTAGAGAACTAAGGAAATATTTCCTTGGCTACTAAGTTAATCAATAAGTCTAGGAAATTTGTGATTGGCTACACCAGTACACAATTTAGAATAATACCAATATACGTTTCCAACTACAAAGTGACAAGATTTAAAACATAGACACTCTTGTGGCTAACATCATTATATAGGTGGTTGTAGCAAAGATTTCCGAGGCATTATAATAACTAAAATTTTTGTACACTTGTCAATATCATGAAACACTTGAAATATATTTACTACAAATGTAGAAAGGTATAATTAATTTTGTGATTTGTAAAAATAATTTAAGGGTGGAAAAAAGATGCAATTTCCATTGAAGTCATCCTATGAAAGTTTTCCTTTTTTAAACATAAGATCACTTCAGTTGACACCTATCTTAGCATGTTTTTTCTATGATAAAATATGATTCTGCCCCAGAGCAAGAACATATTTCATATAACTAGATTTAACTCTTAGATTTTAGTTGCATATGTTACAAAATTTTGATCTGGAAAGGGTTAAAAATATTATCTGTCCCATTTTATATCTCAGAGAACTAATACTAAAAGAATTAATTGAATGGCAAGGAGTCGGGCCTGTATTTTCGGACTTCCCAATTCAGTACTTTCCACATTCTTGCTACTAACATTTTTTTAACTGAGCAACATTAATTATAATTATTTACACACAAGGTATAACTAAATACATAGTTGAAACACCTTGGAAATATGAACTTATTACTCAAGATGACTGTTATCTAATAACTTAAATTTATGTATAAGAAGGGTACTGGTGCTGGGTGCAGTGGCTCACACCTGTAATCCCAGCACTTTGGGAGGCCAAGGCAGGTGGATGATTCAAGGTCAGGAGTTCGAGACCAGAATTGGTATTTTTGGCCAGTATGACGAAACCTCGTCTCTACTACAAATAGAAAAATTAGCTGGCATGGTGGCGCATTTGGGTAGTCCCAGCTACTCAGGAAAGCAAGGCACGAGAACTGTTAAAACCCAGGGGATGAAGGTTGCAGTGAGCTGAGATTGCACCACTGTACTCCAGTGTGGGCAACAGAGCAAGACTCAGTCTCAAAAAAAAAAAAAAAAAAGGGAAAACAAAAGAAGGCAAGTTCTTATATATGTTATTCTCATTCCAGGCAGCTTCTTATATATGTTATTCCTATATATGTTCCTATATATGTATGTTATTGCTTTCTAAATGAAGAAAAGTGAAGTCACCCTACCAGAATCACTGCCAACTTTAACAAGTTTATTAATGCAACAGTATTTCAAAAACACTTACAGTAAATATTATTGCATCTCAAGACTGCAATACTGAAAATCATTTTATTTTCCTATTCCCAAATAGATAATGCATATACTTATAAAGCTAAGATTCTCTCTTCATTTAAATTTTGAATATCACTTTGCTTATCCAACCCACTCCAATTATGTACTTATTATGGGTCACTTAAAATACAGAAACTTAATATTTAAACAATATCTATCTTTATCAATTGAGAAGTTAACAATCAACTTGTTTATCTAGTCTCTATCATTCTCTAACACTTCCTGAAAGTTTTTTTTTCAAGATACATTTAAAATCTTCTGTTTAACAAACAAGATTAATTATAGTTAAAAAAATAAACAGTCCTAACATTATATATTAATTTGAAAGGGTCAGAAAATTTCAATAATTTATTAAAAGTAATAAAATACCTGATGTACAAAATACACATTTTTAAAAATTTCATTAAGCTACTCCAACAAAATACATTATTTTTATAAATTCTTAGGGACTAACATTTAAATCACTTATTCAAAAAATATGTATTTGATAAGAAATGCTATAGTAGCAAACACAGAAATGAATTTCAATGTAGAAAGCTCTTTTCATTGTTAGAAAGAAGCCAAGTAGTGCAAAGAAAGTTGTAGTACCTAAAACCCAACAACTAAAACTGAAAAGCAAATCTCACTTCATTTTTTCTTTCCCCATTTTGTGACAAAGAACTTATTTGATAGTGTTGTGATAACCGGTGGCTAAAAACAGGAGGAAAAAAAACAAACACAAAGACCAAATAAAAAGCTGAAAGAGTCTACTGTAAGTACTATTGCCATTCCAAACAGGAACCACAAACACTGAGACAAGATAATATGATCACCTCCACCATAACTGATAAACTAATCATGAGTTGTTTTACTTAACATACACACACACACACACACAAACACACACATGTGCACAAATGCACACATAGTGTATTTAAACAGTAAATATATTTTTATATTAACATAGTTGTAGATTTCTATAGCTCAGTTCTTAAGCTAAAGGATAAAATCTTTATTCCTTTTATATCTGTAAATTATAGTATTAACATCATAAAAATCAAATCCAGTTTGATATCAGTTAACTAACCCTAGGATGGGAATCACACTCAAGAAGAGCTGCTCAAAAAAAAAGCCCAAGATGCCTTATTTTAAATAATATGTATCAAAATACTTTATGCAACAGACATTTGAAAATTTTAACAAAGTTAGATAAAAACTCCTATCTTAATTCAAAGGAATATCTCACAAAACAAGTTTAGCTTACCAAAACTCCATCATAAGATCCTGCTTCACTTGTCAGAAATGCAAACATGACACACAAATATGGGTTGTTTAGTTGTAATCGCAGTGTGCTACACATTTCTCTCCAAAGGGAGTTCTTCTCATCCGTATAACCCGATAAAGCCATTGCTACCACATTGAGATTCAGATCTCCTGCATATTAAAAACAGCCAGCTAATCAAAGTGATCGAAAGCTTAGTATCTCTTCCACATTTCTTAAAACATAAATAGAAATCAGAGGGTGACTTTTACCCTCAGAAAAATGAGCCCAGAGAATAAGGGTTTTGGGTTGCTCTGCCTATGTATTAGCCATTCTTTCATTTCTTTACTTTCTTAATAAACTTGCACCTTACTCAAAAAAAAAAAAAAAAAAAAAAAAAAAAAAAGGCTTTTGGGTTTTGATTCAGATTGGAAAATTTGGCAAAGACAATCAGCAAAACATTTCCGCTCTTACAAAACTCATGCCCACGTGTGCAAAAACTCTGTGCAGGTGTGCAGGAAAGCAGATCTTTTAATTTTTAAGTTCTCATTCCAGGCAGCTTCTTATATATGTTATTCCTATATATTTTCCTATATATGTATGTTATTGCTTTCTAAATGAAGAAAAGTGAAGTCACCCTACCAGAATCACTGTCAACTTTAACAAGTTTATTAATGCAACAGTATTTCAAAAACACTTACAGTAAATATTATTGCATCTCAAGACTGCAATACTGAAAATCATTTTATTTTCCTATTCCCAAATAGATAATGCATATACTTATAAAGCTAAGATTCTCTCTTCATTTAAATTTTGAATATCACTTTGCTTATCCAACCCACTCCAATTATGTCTGCTGCTTTTCACCAAGTGTCAATGCGGAAAGCAGTATTTCAACATTTTAATTATAGTATTACACTTATAATTTTTCCAGGACAAAATGAACTATAAGAATTACCACAGAACTGCATTTAGACACATTTGCAACAAAGCCTTTGTTATCAGTAGTCTACTAAACATTTGTTCTTAGCAGTTTCAATGCTTGCTGATAAGCTGCTAACCTGACCTTCAGCACCATGGCTGCCTAGTCTTCTAAGTTCAGCTTCAAAAGAGAAAACTAAATTTTCTTTTAACTTTCACTCTTAAGTATTTTCTACATTATAGAAGTTTTCTTATTCTATTTCTTCATTCTAATATTTTGATTTCTTTTCCAAATAAAGCAGTGTTTCTCACTTCATGTTCTTAACTTTATTCCTCATTTCTGTAAACATTTTCCCAAGTTATTTCATGCTTGTTTCCTTCACCTAATATATTAAATTAGATTTAAGGTCTTTTAAAATAAAAATAAAAATAGCAAGGGATTATCTTAGAATAATTTACTTCTAAATGGAAAGGAACGTTTGACTCAGAGACGTGTTCTCTTCAATTCTTAAAATCACTGGAAAGATACACTTTCCTTATTGTTAGTATGGGTGTTTAAATCAACCACCAAATTTTCCAGGTACACAAGATAGGAAGGTATTACCCTTTCAAGTTATAGCAAAATTATAATTAGAAATGACTTTAAATATCAATTCTTTTTTCCATCATCACATATTTTCTATTGTACTCTTAAATGGGGAAGAGTTTTGTTAGAGCAAAGGTAAAGAAAAAGATGTCAATCTAAGCAAAACATTAACTTTTTAAACTTTTAGACTGCAAAAAAATATATTACTGTGAATTTCATGTTTTCCTCTATGCTATGGTTGAACTATAATGGTTTTAAAATAGACCAGCAAGTAATAATTCAGTATTATGAATATTCAGAAAAATTTTTTTAGGTGTACTAAAACCCAACAGCTACATATATTTTAGTTATTTTTGATTGAAATATTCAAGTGTATTTAAACAGTAAATATATTTTTTATATTAACATAGTTGTAGATTTCTATAGCTCAGTTCTTAAGCTAAAGAGTAAAATCTTTATTCCTTTTATATCTGTAAATTATAGTATTAACACCATAAAAATCAAATCCAGTTTGATATCAGTTAACTAACCCTAGGATGGGAATCACACTCAAGAAGAGCTGCGCAAAAAAAAAGCCCAAGATGCCTTATTTTAAATAATATGTACCAAAACACTTTATGCAACAGACATTTGAAAATTTGATAAGAAAAAAAACCCCAAGGTTTTGGAATGGGATTTGTTTCTCCAAGGATCCTCTGGCAAAATGCCAGAGTAAAAAAACATTATTTCTTTCTTTTTAAAAAATACCAAATGAAAACTATATTTTAATTGCCAGACTCAAGAAGCATTTTTGAAGATCAAAGTATGCTTTTTGTAAGAATTTGTATTAGCCTACATAAACGTGTCATCCAGAGATTCCTAAAGGTCAAACCACCATCCAAAAAAATATAAACTAAAACACACTCCAATATGTGCCATAAAAATACCTGTAGGCTAAAGTAATCCTAATCTTTAAGAAAATATGTATTTTTAAATGTATGTGAACTATCTTTAAAAGAGAAAATGGATACAGCTGAGCACTCCCTACAATATTATACTGACATTTAAGACACGTCTTTGTTTTTACAGATCTAAACCAAGGCATAAGGGATGAGCTAAGTATTTACTGTTATAGATACATTACTGTGTTAATTTTCTCTTCCAACAAAAATTAAATAAAATATTGTGATTAGGTATTTGAAAATTATTAGCCTCTTTTGTTTAAAAGATTCTATGAACTGCTAACATCTTAGATTATAACTAATATCTTAGATTATAACCTAATACCTTTTTCAGAAGATGCCCCTTCATTCAGGATTTGGATTGCTCGGCGAATATCCAAGTTGAACAATGCCACAGCAGCAGCTCTCTCCCATTCCCCTTCTTGTACAAGGGAGTTCAAAAATGGCCCCACATCTATATCCGTTCCTTTCTTTATCCACCCACAAAGTTGTAAAGCTAAGATTCTCTCTTCATTTAAATTTTGAATATCACTTTGCTTATCCAACCCACTCCAATTATGTCTGCTGCTTTCCACCATTCCTAAAAACAAGAAACATTTTTATATTGTTTTGTTATTTTGAAATGTATTTTGAAAATAAGTCAGTTTTACAGAGAACTATTTCAACACATTTAGAATATTTAACTTCTTGGCCACAATTTTATGATAGTGTAAATATGAAATATGCCCCAAATAAACATATTTTGCATGTTTCTAAGTACAATAACTCCTTAAGTTACCAAAGAACTACTGAAATAAAAGCAAATGCTCAGATGGACTGAGTTACTGCTTCAGAGAAGGTTCCCTGGCTACCTAAACTAAATTAGATACATCTATTATTATCTAATTCCCCACTCATTGTTTCCTCTATTTCCTTTAGCACTTAACATGTGCTTCTATGTAGTTATTAATTTATTTTTCAGTCTTATCTCTTCTCCCACTAGCACAAAAGCTCCAGAAGGGCAAATGTCTTGTCTGTTTTATTCACAAGGTACCCCTACTGTCTGAAATCAAGTAGAAGTGCTCTTTCTTTCTTCTTTCTCTGTATATTAAAAAACAAGATTATAGAATTCAAAGTACATTGAAAGTTTAAGGCAAGTAATAACTTTAAAATACAATGTGAATAACTTGAAGGCTTTTTTTCCCCTTACTAATTCAGAAAATCTCATTTATCATTCTTTTTTCAGAACAAAGCATTGCTATTCTTGTAGCATTATTTACATTGCAGTGAAGTCAGTTGATCCTAATGACAGGGTAATTTCACTTAGAATGATACTTAGTGCCAAATGATGTAAAAACAAATAAAGGTGACACTTAAAAACTATAGTAACTAATTGTTAAATGTCCTAGAAAGTTTTACCATCAAAATTGTCATTACCTAATTAAGTTTTCTAACAAAAAGGATTTTCAGAATAAACTAAATTATGAATTAGGTAACATGAATGTCCAACATTACCAATTTTTAATTTTTTGTAGTAATTTACATTTTATAATTTATAGTAATTATATATTTATATATATACATCTAATACTGCAATTATACATTTGTAAATAACTAGATCAACAAAACAGTTTCTAGAATTCCTCATTCAACTTGTTGGTTGTAGGTAGAACTGTTAAGAAGGGCTCTATTCCTGCCTCCCCTCCAACCATACTCTTGTGTCATCCTGTCCCCTTGAGTACAGGTAGAATCTGTAACTTGTCTCGAGATAAAGAATACAGCAGAGATGAAAGCATTTTGCAGATATAATTACGGCCCTTACTCAGTTCACTGAGTGAATCAAGTGAAGATTATTCTGTGTGGGCCTGACCTAATCAAATAAGTCCTTTGAAAGAAGGTCTAGAGGTAAGAGAGAAGCAGCACGAGACACATCTCCTGCTGGTCCTGAAGAAGTAAAAGCTGCCACGCTGTGAGAGGGTCTATGAGAAGGCCACGTGGCAAGGAAGTGTCAACAGCCTCTAAGGAGCTCACAGCAGCCTCTGGCCATCAGCCAGCAAGAAAATGGTGACCTCAGTCCTATAGCTGCAAAGAACTGAATCTTCCCAACAATTCCATGAACTTCTCTGATCTCTAGAAATAAATACAGTTTGGCTGATACCTTCTGGTTAGCCTTTCTGAAACTGAATAGAGGACTCAGCTAAGGTGTGCCCAGACTCCTGGCCCATGGAAACGATGAGATAGTAAATTAATGAAAATACACTATCCAAAGTTAATTTAGCTATAGTCATTCTGATCAAGGAATTGAATGTATAAACAAACCCAAGCAAAAATAAAAAAATATTAAAAACTTAATTGTCATTTGCAAGTTAAATGACACACACATAAAATTTTCCTTTTTTTTTTGCGATGGAGTTTTGCTCTGTCACCCCGGCTGGAGTGCAGTGGCGTGATCTCAGCTCACTGAAACTTCTACCTCCCAGGTTCAAGCAATTCTCCTGTCTCAGCCTCCCGAGCAGCTGGGACTACAGGTGCATACCACTGTGACTGTCTAATTTGTTTTTAGTAGAGACTGGGTTTCGCCATGTCAGCCAGGCTGGTCCCGAACTCCCTACCTCAGGTGATCTACCCGCCTTGGCCTCCCAAAGTGCTGGGATTACAGGTATGAGCTACCGCGCCTGGCCTATTTTTACTCTTTCCAAGTAGTCAGACTGAATGATTTTTAAGAAAAATTTTAGGCCAGGTGTGGTGGCTCATGCCTGTAATCCCAGCACTTTGAGACACCGAGGCGAGTAGGTCACCTGAGGTTGTAAGTTAGAGACCAGCCTGGCCGACATAGTGAAACTCGGTCTTTACTAAAAACACAACTATCATTAGTGTATTATGTGTGGCACAAGACAATCCTTCCAACGTGGCCCAGGGAAGACAAAAGATTGGACACCTCCACTTTATAGCAAGTTACTGTACTGAATACTGCAGGTAACTGTAACACAATGGTAAGTATTTGTGTACCTAAACACAGAAAAGGTAAAGTTAAAAATACAGTATTAAATGTTATGGGGCCACTATCATATATGCAGTCAACTGTTAACATTAATGTCATTATATAATGCATGACTGAATAGGAATTTAAAGAAGTCCCTGGAGGAGGAGAAAATATTAATATATCCTGCATGTTAAGAACATGGTTATTGTATCACATATTTTTTTCTGCTTAGAGACCTTTTTATTGATCACTATGCTACAGTTGATGATTAGGATTATCAAATAAGCAATATGATGTCAGCATGGGAGTATAGTTATGAGTTTAACATATAAATTTTTAATATAGCTCTGAAAATGAAGTAAAATATACTTATGCATGTCATGTAATGCTAAATAAAATTGTATGTCCTAAATTTGAGATTGTCCTATAAGTAACAGGAAACGTTTTATTGATGGCTGCAAGGAAAATAAGTTTATTTAAACATTAAAAATCAGGATTCAGGCCAGGCTCACACTTGTAACCCCAGGACTTTGGGAGCCCGAGGCAGGCAGATCACTTGAGGTCAGGACTTTGAGACCAGCTTGGCTAGTGGGGCAAAGCCCTGTCTCTATAAAAAATACAAAAATTAGCTGGTATAATGGCATGTGCCTGTAATCCCAGCTACTTGGGAGGCTGAGGCACGAAAACCACTTGAACCCAGGAGGTGGAGGCTGCAGTGAGCCAAGATTGTGCTACTGCACTCCAGCCTGAGTAACAGAGAAAGAAATTCTTGTCTCAAAAAAAAAAAAAAAATTAAGATTTAAACATTTCTTTCAAATCAGCAAACACTATGCTCTTTGTAGCTATTAATCTGTTGCATTTTACTATCTATATACTAAGCAATAAAATTATCCGGTTTGTAAGAAATCCAAGCTATTTTGCCCTTGAAGTCATTTTGTCTAAAAAAAATTCTGTTCTCTAGATTACACTTAAACCAAAAAAAACCAAAAAACAAAAAACAAACAAACAAACAAAAACGAGAGAGAGAGAGAGAGAGAGAGAGAGAGAGAGAGAGAGAGAGAGAGAGAGAGAGACAGGGTCTCTATGTAGCCCAGGCTTGCTTCAAACTCCTGGGCTCAAGTGATCCTCCTACCTCAGCCTCCTGAGTAGCTGGAGCGATAAGCTTACTTTTTTTTTTTTTTTTAAATAAATATGGCTATGTTATAATAATTTTATTTTGACTTTTTAAAAATGAGTCTCTTGATTTTTAATCAGGGCTTTGGGGTCATGGGGATTAGTCAATGTCACAGTCATAATGATGCACTTATTCAGGGAAAACTTTAATTTTCTTTGTCTTCTTCAAAAACAACTGCTGGAACACCTCAAATTAAGCAATGTTCATCTAAAACACCTTTACTGAAACTTGATTCCTTGGGCCAAAGGAAGGTCCTTACTGTAGTTGATAGTACAAGTAGACCTTTTCATGTACTGTTTCCAGGTGTCACTGCTAGACTCCCTGCCACCACCAGTGTGCTTTTCTCCTCCAAAGTCACCTCCAATCTCAGCCCCACTTGTTGGAATGTTGACATTTACAATGCTACAGTCTGATCCTTTAGGTCCGAGCCAGCGGAAGATTCTGCCCAGATCTTTGGTAAAGAAGCTACTTGAAAGTCCCTGTTTTACATCATTATTCCATGTAAAGACCTCTTACTTCATTCTTGAATTTAAAGACATAGAGAATCGGAGCAAAAGTCTGTGTGTGTGCAATGGATGCATTGTGGCCAAGACCTGTGACAATTGTCAGTTCTACATAATTTCCAAGGTGATCCATAACCTTGTCCCCACAGACCACTGTGCTACCTTCTTTCTTTGCTTCTTCTACTGCTCCAAGAAACATGCTCACTGCCTACTTAGTGTGGAGTGGCCCATAGAGAACATTACAGTCCCATGGGTTCCCAACTTGGATCTATGCATAGGCCTTTTTAAGTCTGTTTACGACCTCATCATGGATGCTTTCATGCACAAACAGTCACCTCACAGTGATACACCTCTGGCCAGCTGTTCCCACAGCAGCGAAGAGAGCTGATGAACAACTAAGTTGAGGTCTGCATCTTCAAAGGCAATAATGGCATTATTTCCCCCAAGTTCCAACAAACTTCTCCCAAACCTCTCCTGCACCATCAGGGCCATCTGTTTTCCCACCTGAGTGCTACCAGTAAAGGACAGCAGGTTCACTAGCTCATCTTTGGCCACTGCTGTGCCAATATCTGCTCCACCACTAGTCAAGGAACAAATTGCACCAGGCAGCTTGTTGTCCTCCAGAACCCTGGCTATTATCTTTGTGACAGCCACACTAATAATCAGGGAAGTTGTTGGAGCTTCTTTCCAGAGGCAGACATTTCCAAAGATCAAGTTGATGACGCTATTCCAACCATACACTGCCACAGGGAAATTGAATACAGTGATGATTCCAACCAGGCCGACAGGATTCCACTGCTCAATCAGTGCATGCCCAGGTCTTTCAGAAGGCAAGATAGGGCTTCCAATCATCCATGATAAACCAACAGCATAGTCACAGATATCCACATACTCCTGAACTTCTCCCACACCTTCCACTAAGATTTTCCCCATCTCCAAAG